GGCAGGGGGTCCTCCAGGACAGGTTTGGGAACCACTGCTGTAAGGGATACATTATGCATCAATATTGCGCCATTGAGTTAAATCACTTACCCCAGTTGATTGTCTTTGTAATAAATCTCTTTAAAATGTTCACAGATGGAAGGTTGTGAGTTCATATCCCACAGAGGTCTGTACACTATGCCTCAACATGGTGCCATTGAGTTAAATCACTTACCCCAGCTGACTGTCTTTGTAATAAATCTCTTAACAATTTTCACAGATGGAAGGTTGTGATTTCATATCCCACAAGGGTCCATACATTATGCTTCAACATTTTGCCATTGAGAAAATCACTTACCCCCACTGACTGACTTATAAGACTGAAGTCTTATAACAATCTTCACAATTGGAAGGTTGTAGGTTCAAGTCCAATACCTTGTTGTTTTATCCTTAATCAAACACACCTGCCTGTCAAGCAATCCTGCAGACAAAGGTTAGAATTTGAGCCAAACTCTGTGGGACAATGGCTGTCCAGGACCGGAGTTGCCCATCCCTGTTGTAGATAAAAACCCCTTTTGAGAGCAATAATGTTCATTCAAGCTTACTAATGTACCTAATCTTTAGTAAACCTATAACACAAATCCAACAGGCTTCTTTTTGCACACTCAAGTGTTTTACTACCTAAATTTTGCTGCTTGAAGAACAAGTTACCCTCAAAGACAGAGGTGAGGTGTCAGACCCACTGGGATTGCACCCATTTACTCAGGTCTCATTCTCTCAGTCTAATGTGCATCAAGACGACAAAAGTGCAGGGCCTGACTAATGGTTCTGCCTGCTCCAGAAATCCTTTTATCTTTTCCTTTCATCTCCAATGGCATATTCCAAAGAGTAAATGTCTCAATGTAATTACACAGCAATTCTCCCTCTGCTCTGCAGTGCACGAGAGGAGAGGAAGGTATAGTGTGATGCATGATGAGACACTTACATAATTACCCTATACAGTAAGTGGGTTGGAGTTACCCATCATTCAGCACAGACCACAATTATCACAACGCATTAGGGATTTGGCTAAGCCAATGAGGTCACTTAAATTTAAATGGAAGGTGCAACTGTACTCCTTTATTACGAATCTGGCTTCAAACTCAGCAATTCGACTCCACTTGAACACCAAAGCTAAATTCCTATGATTTTTTTTATTTTTTTGAGATCCTGTTCACCTACCTCAGCAGCCTCTTTTTCAAACTTCTCAATGGTTCTTTTATCAATTCCTCCACATTTATAGATGAGATGGCCAGTGGTGGTGGATTTCCCCGAATCAACATGGCCAATGACCACAATGTTGATGTGGATCTTCTCTTTCCCCATGATGGCACAGGGCAGGAAGACAGGATGGGAATGGATGGAGCTTTCTTCTGTCTACAGCTGTCGCAGACAAAGAACATTTGAACGCATAGAAACAACTTTCATCCTAAATGTTTCATTATGATGTTTACTGATCATATTTCAGTAAACAGTCTTCAGAGCACAGCAGAACTAAGCTATTCAAGGTTATTTCTAAACAACATAAAATGGGAGATAAATATTTCAGATAAAATATACTACATAACAACAATTATAAAACCTTATATATAAAATATATGAAATATTATTTGAAATGTCTGAAAATTTGTCATGAACAGTACATAAAAAAAAGATAACTATTTGATCTCATTAATCATTTTACCAGTTTGGCAAACATTGGTAAACTTATTACCAGCATATAACAAAAGGATTGCAAAATTACAATCATATTTTTGTTTATAATTACAATTTCAAATTATAATTATAAAAACATTATTATTAAAAATCATGCAAATAAATGTTCAAAACTAATTTCTTACAAGTTTACATATCCCTTGCAGGATCTGTAAGATAACTATGACTTTCTTCTTTTTTTATAGCACTACCCTAACAAAGTTGCATAACACATTTGAATATATCCCACAAGACAAAATTATAAATTACACAAATCATTCTGTCAAACAGCACCCCTTGACATACCCTTGGATTTTTAGATCTATATTAGACTCAAATGTGCAGAATATGCAAAGAACTTACAGGACCTGGAGGCTTTTTGTCAAAAACAGTGGGTAGCTTCACTGTTCGGGACAAACCAGGGGCTCATGCAAAATTATCACAAAAGCTTACGGACAGTATTTGATGCAGGAGGGGAAAAAACAGATGAAATTAAGATAGAAGGGCATTTAAAATTTTGAACAGGATATGTAAATTCTGCTATTAATTTATATATTAAATAAGTAATATTTTGTTGAATAGCTTCATCAGGGCAGTACTAAATAAAAATACAATAAATAAACAAAAAGCTATTGACCATTATGAGTATAGTTAAAGTCTAACAGCAGGAGAATGATTGTGGCCTCTTACCTGCAGCTGACAGCCGGACCCTGTTCTCCCCTCAGCAAACAGACACTCTGTGCTTCTGTAAAGGTGGCAGCACAGTCCAAGTCTGTGTGCGTAATGAACTCACCCCACTTTGATACAGCAATGCGGCACTCAAAAGTGGGGGAGGCTGGTGGTGAGGGACTGCAGTGAGACAAGCTGAGAGGAAGAGTACGAGAGATGAAGGACGAACACACTGGAATAGAGCAGCGTTCAGTGACTCAGCATCTTATCCTCAATTAACTCCTGCTGGATAAAAATCGAACTGGTTCCCTGTGTGGGTCTGAAATATGACACTAACAGGTTCCCAACATACATTTTTTTGTATTATTGAGAATGTTTATTACCAGGTTATTCTAGAGGTAACTATTTCTATGTCTTTAGTTAAATGCAATTTTAGTACATCTGAAATTGTATACATATATTATAGGGGTCTGATCAGTTGTTTGGTCTGTTCTTTGAAAAATCATCAATAAATTATATTTGGACCCCCATTCTTCTGCTAATTTCATACAGATACTTTTATTTAATGTTGATTTTGCAGAACGTATCAGAAAAACTTGTGATTTGGTCTCCGATCTCTCTCGGACTTCATTTTTTTGCCACTT